AGAAATGTGTCGTTTTTTACTTTAATGAGAATAACCATTGGAAATAATGGGAATGACAAAAAAATGAAGAAAATTAAGCCCATTTTAGGAAAATATAGAATTTTTTTTGCAACGAAATTAGGGGTGCTCCGATCAGGATTTTTGAGGCCGATCACCGATCGCCAATCACAGAAAGCAGTATCTGCCGATTCCGATCTTTTTAAAGCCTTCTTTTTATCATTTATACCTATTTATAGTGATACTCCAATCAGGATCTTTAGACATTTATTCAGGGCCTGAATTTCATTTTTGAAAATGGGGGGAATTCCCCTCTTAGGTGACTCTTGTGAGAGGAAAAGCAGCTTTCACACAGGAGTCTGCTACTGATCCGTGGCTGTTTACCACAAACACAACATTTATCCATTATTTTGATTTCAAATCCAAACATTGTCACTGAAATTGCTTTTTCAGCATTGCAATTTTTTTATTTACACAGTACAGTAATACAATCTATGGAACGATATTCCAGACAATTTTCAAATAGAATAGCAAATTGTATTTTCAATTGCGTTTTCAATATGTGGACGCATAAATTGTGACATAATCCTTACTGCAAAAATGCGCTGTTACTTTAATTCAGCGTGTGCAGCGCAGCAAATATAGACTCGGTGGTGCTGAAACGATCTCTGCACTGCTCCTGAACGCACTGCCGGACAGCAACGGTGTGCCGTGTGCACGCTTTATTCATTCGTTTACATGAGCGCGGAAAAAATACGCACCACATACGCACTGCAAACGGAGTAATGTGAACCTGGCATTATGTGTGTGCGCTGCAAGTGTGCATGAGCGCACGGTCTCCAGGAGAGCGCGCGAGCGCTGAATGGTTAAACACTGGCAAGAATTAAAAAGAAATGCAATTTATAAACTTTAGTGACGATGTGACACTGCCTCGATTGTGCAAGTGACAATTCCTGTGTCAACTGTGCAGCGTGCAGCTCGTTTATAGACAGACGCGATGTGGTGATTTGAAGACATTTGCGTATTTTGAAAGAGTGCGTGCGCGGTCATTCACTTTGACCCTTTGACCCTTTTTGACACTTTCATTTGTGAAATTATGTCTCACACAAGGTTTTCAAATTACTTTATAAGTTATCTAATGAAGAAATATGAAGGTAAGTACCTCACCTTCAGCATTATAATGATTTCACCTGCGCCAGACAGAGACTGAGAAGGTGCCGCTGCATGTCGTGCCAAACCTCTCATGGCAGCGTCATCAGCTTGAGATCGTTTTTTTGAGATTGGCCTTTTTAGAGACCGCCGATCAATCATCCCAACGTGATTATCGGCCGATAATGATCGGTAGCCGATCAATCGGAGCACCCCTAACCGAAATATAATATTTTGTGATATGTGACTACTATGTAATATTTAATTATGTTTTACATTTTTAACTTTTCACTGTAATGCAAAAAAAAACGTTTTTCTATCTATGAATTGGCATAATTACAGCATTACAATTAGTACTATTGAAAATAAATAAAAAAACATTGAAAAAAAAAAAGATAGAAATATTGTCCTTTTCAAAACTGGTTATGCAAGCAAAACAGGCAAAGAAATAAATGTAAAGCCTAAACCTCTCAACAAGTTTCTCAGAAACCTGTGAAGAGTTGAACCTTGAACACATGTACAGTATAAAGGCCACCTGAATACAATAATTTCTCTTTACTGAAAGAACATCATAAAACAGATGAATAGAAAGATTATATTTTGTGCAAGAAAATTGTTATTCAGCTTACAAAACCAGCTTCTATTGATGACTCGTACGTCTTTCATGCTGACCTAACTCCCAAGGTCAAGTTCAGCATCAGACTGTGCATTAAATTTGCCAATGAGCTATTCCCATACCACCATGAGGTAATTGCTTTTATTTGCCATGGCAACAAAACCACACCAGACAACAAATAGCCTGTAGGGTGGACCCTAGGGTGGGCTATGCCACATGCCAGATACTCCCTTACAATATCTGCCATCTAGCTGTAATGTTTAGCTCCAGCGGTGATTACATCTGCCCGTGTGTCTCCAGTGATCATAACAAGAAGCTCTTACTGACTGTAGCATAATAAAGCAAACAGTGTATGGCATGTTCTAATATATATGGCCATATGTGTGAATGCCAGCAAGAGCCAACAGCCAAATCTGTGCCAGTGGTGATTACATTTGCAAAGCATATGACTCCCACTCACCTACTGTATGCCATTGCTTTTTGAGTTTACTGCACTGTGCACAAGTTTGGGGGTGTATAGTGGCTATAGATCAAGATTGAGATTGAAATGCCTTGTCAACTTGAAACAAAACAGTTTTTTATATATATATTTTATTTCAGTCCAGTTAAGATGTTTTTTTTTTAATGGTTTTAGTTTTAATTTGAGTTTTTACGCTGATTTTAATATAGGCTATATCTTTATTTTTGTAATTTAAAAAAATCTATTAATTAATTATTTATTTGTGTGATGCAAAGTATCACATGATTCTTCAGAAATTCTTCTAATAGGCTGATTTGCTGCTCAAGAAACATTTATTATTAATACTGAAAGCAGTTGTGCTGCTTCATATTTTTGTGGAAACTGATATATTTTTTTCAGGATTCTTTGATGAATAGAAAGTTCAAAAGAACAGCATTAATCTGAAATAGAAATATTTTGTAACAACGTCTTATAATAAAATTTAATGCATTGGTGCTGAATACAATTCATTTCTTTCTTTCTTTCTTTCAGAAAATCTTGCTGACCCCAAGTTTTAACAGTAGTGTGTGTGTGTGTGTGTGTGTGTATAATATATATATTATTTATTTATTTAAATATAGCAATAAATATATAGCAGGCGTTAATAAAAATATTAAAGTGTTCACTGTCTAGAGAAATCCAGACTGCTCAATGCATCTGCAACATGTCAGACTAACATAATTCTATAAAACAATGAAAGGATCCTGACATAATGTCATTATCCTGTCATTTACCAGATACCGCAGTGTCATATTTGGTATGACCACATCAAGCCTGTTGCTTTGACAGTATCACAGACACATATGCAGATAATTGGACATTGTGCGGGGCCGTCGCCAGGAGCAAAGACTCCGTAACTATAGAAACAACATTAATGCTCTCCACAAATCTGAGTCAGAAATATGAAGAGCGTTCTGGAGCTTTCAGAAGAGAAATGACAAGGTAAGCCTCGCCTTAAGATGATGCACTGCACAAAATCAGTCTTTTCCAACTAATTTGCCTGTAATTCTGATAAATGGTGACTGTGATATATTCACAACAGCCAAAGAAATTATATCAATCTTAAAACACGATAACACGCAGCTGCAGTCCCTGGCAAGAAGGCCTGATAAGAAGTGTGGTGAATTTCCAGCTGAGCGCAGACGGGATGTTTTGGGCCGTTTCGTGTGTTCTCATAGAGGCTTTAAAAGCAGAAAGCTGAGAGTTGCTTCCCTTCATGGTGGATCTGTATGGATAATGGATTCTCCTCAGCAATGAAACCGTATTCCGTACACAAAGACGGAGCAACCTGAGCGAAATTCCTGGTGGACTGGGAGAGGCTTTTTCTGCTCGTTGTTGTTTAGGGTTTGTGGCATCTCCTGGACTCGAAAGCCAAAACGAAACAATCCGAGCAACGCTATTTCCACACACCCACATTAAAACACACTTTCCACTACGCTCAGACACAATGCCTTGTTTTATTTCGACGCGGGCTGCCATGGTGACGAGAGCAACAGAGCGAATACAGTGGCTAGTCACAAGCCCCTCTTGACACGACTCGCACCCTCACCCCGCCATACACACACAAGACCAGCGCTGACAACAAGAAACAAGCTGCTAACAGCACAACCCCATTCATAAGACTTCACCATGGCCACATACACACTGCAGCGTCACCTTTTAGTGCTTCATCCTGTTCTGTACACACAGTTCAGTAAAACATGGGAGCAACAGCCGTATTTTACAACTGAATTGACCCTAGTTCGCAGGGAGTTTGATTGACAGGCGGTCTGACCAATCATAACGCCGAATCCGCCATTTTTGTTCGACAAACAAATCAGACAAGAGAGTAGATTAACTTCGCTGGACATGAACTTGAAAAATTGTGTATATTGATGTCTTTCCGCAGTTGGAAGATACCTTCTGATGTTCAAGATACAAGATACCTTCTGATGTTCATTCATGTTTATTTCGTGCTATAACTAGTAAAGAGGAAGATGATCGGTTCATGTGCCGCTTGAACTGAGGCAACACAGCGATCTGTAATGACACACTAAAGAGCCACAAAATGGTATTTATTGTTTGAATTTCTTTAAAAAATGACTAAATTTGAAAGCTGAGTCTTTGTTTTATACCAGAAGTAACCTGCTCTGTGTTGTCTGCTGGCATGTTGTCAGTTTCCTCTTTGCTCCAGAAAGCAAGTCCGTGGCCAATAAGAACTATAGTGTGGATTAGGCCACGTTCACACAGCAGAATACGGATGTCAGTCCTGCATCTGAATCATTAATACGGTTGCGTTCACACACATTTCAGTTGTTTACATGAGTGACAACTGTGTTCTATAATCAAAAACACACCCATAAATGATCAGGACTTACAACCGTGTTTTAGGCATGTGTGAACAAGACCGTACTGGACAACTAGTTGTCTGTCACGTCACACAGTGATCCAGTCTCTGTCCTCCTCCAGAGCTACTCCAGACAGTTTTGTGGTATGTGTGCAACTCAAATGTTGTTGGTTAATCAAGATTTGATAGATGAAATCACACATCAATTGAACTTTTGTCATGTCAAATGTGATAAGAGTCTGCAGTTTAGGACATCACCATCTTTGATACTTAAGCTGCTGTGTGAACAGGAAATTTCGAGCCTCACACCTATAAGCAAATGCGCTTGTCAATCCCAAACACTGAGAGTGTGAGCGTAGCCTTATATACTTATTATACCTGTCAACAAACAACCTCTGATGATGTGCATTTACCTTCTCTCATTGTCATCCAGATGGGCAAACAGCACGTTCTTTGAGATGGCTTTGGCCAGGGCGGTCATTGTCTTGTAGTCCTTTGGAATGACCTATAGCCAAAGAAAACCACTTACTAGATGACTACTCATAAAACAAATTATTAGTATGTACTGGCATTTTCAAATTTCTGTGTATTTTCTCAATAAATTGTGAGTGTTGTGCTTGTGAAAAATGTGCAGCCATGATCCTAGGGTGTTGTGGATGTTACTAAGCAGTTGCTGAGGTGTTGCTACAGTAGGTGGTTTCTCACTGGCCCAAGTTAAAAGATCCCAACCTCTCAAGTTTCTACGATATCCTGGTCCCCCTTTAACTCATTTTATCATATACCAGGCAAATTTTTTATTGCTTTAGAGAATTATAAGCATAGAACTCCTCAACAAGACGATGATTTGAGGATTTCATTCGTGTTCACAAATGGTGCAGAATGTTATGTTTGTTGAGCAAATTGTCAAATTGTGCCTTACACTCAGGGGTGCACATAAGTGGTACGCAGGTCCGCATGCATGACCAAAATTAAAAATCCCGCTACCCACTGCCGTTTTCAAAGCACAATGCAAAACTGTGACATTTCACTCACAGATGCGCTTCAGTCGGCAGTAAGCATATACTTACTTGCCGGCAACCCGCCAAAATAAAAGCCTGCTGATTTTAATTTTGAAAATGATGAAAATTCATCTTTAAAAAAAATAAGTAAATATTAGCATTTTATGTTTATTTAAGTTTACTATAAAATAGTTGTATTTGTATTTAATACTCCCTTTTTATTTTAAAATATAATAGTATTATCACACTTTATTATTTAGTTTATTATTTTATTTAAAAATATATATATTTTTATTATATAAATTATTATTATTATAATTCTCTTATGAGAACCAGGCTGAAAAACTTATGTGCACCCCTGCTTATACTGCTAATTATTAAAAACCAAATTAACCTTATTAGTCTATAATTGTTACTAAAAATGATTCGTTAATTGAAATGAATGAGAAATCAAAAAAATAAATAAAATAAATATATATAAGGATTAGATGAAAACCTTAAACGTAAAAAAAAATGCCTTGGCAACTAAATGAAATATATAGGTTTAAATTACTAAAATGACTAAAGTACTAAAATTACTAAAACTGAAATAAAAATAATTAATTAAAGGTAAATAAAAATATTTGAAAAATATCATAAAATGACTACAAAAAAGTAGTAGTTAATAAGTTTTAATTATTTTAAACTAAATTAAACTCAAATTAAACTGAAAACTGAAAATATTAAAATATATAATATAATAAATTAATTAAAAAGCTAATTAAAAATAATAATAAATATGATAATTGTATAAAATAATGATAAATAATACTAAAATAACAGTCAACCTTATTTACATGCTTAATGTTCCTATTATTGTGTACACTTCATCAGTACATGCTATCCTAAGCAGAAAAGGAAAACAATAATAACCATTAATATAATAAGCCTAACCATCCAATCAAATCCCACTGGATAAAATCCACATCCAATCCCGCATCATTTCCTGCTGAATATTCTGTTTCACTCAGAAAAGCCATATCTCATATAGAGAAAAACTAATGTGAAAACACAGCAGTGACTCTGGCCTATTAGTGATAGGGCGACTGAGACAAAACTAAAACATCCTAAATAGTGTACCTGAAAATAATGCAAATTTAACTGCAGTTTTATTTAAAGCTACACTGGCTAAATATTCCAACCTGTATCTGCTTTTCTAACCTTTCTGACATAGCTGACGGCATCCTCCTCTGTGTAGACCTCGGCGCTGACCCCACCTCTCCGGCGCCGGGCCTTCACCACCGGGTTTGGAGGAGGAGGAGACACTTCATCATCGTGAGAGTCCGACTGCGAGTTGGACTTCTGACGGGCCATGATCTGCTTGCATTCTTCCTGTGGAGAGAGGAAGTGAACGATACGTAAGATTAAACATCCATCTGAAAACATTGAGAGGGTTGTGACCATCTGGATCGCACAGGACACACAAAAACTTGTGCAGAGTTAAAACAGTGGACGCTAAGAGGGTGAAAGAAACTACCATTACAAATCACGATTACAGATCATAAAATCTAAACGACTGAAACCTACTGTGAGCACAGAAAGCAGACACAACAGCACTGAGATTTCACTGGCAGAGCGAAAGAGAGACAGTGAAAGATTCCCGTATGAAAGAGGGAAGAACAATAAAGCTGCGTGCCACAGCACAAACGATGTGTGTGTGTGTGTGTGACACAACAAGATGTGTACTAGTCAGAGAGGGTACACTCAGTCTTACTGCACTGTACATTCACTGCATACATAGGGTGGACAGAAAAACACAGACCCCTGATAGTATATATTATATATACACATACATACATACATACATATATTCATTTATACAATAGCCAAATGTTTTAGCTAGTCATTTATTGGGAAAATAAATGTGCAAAATAAACTGACAGCTAAACACTTTATGCAAAATGCCACAGCTAAATGTATTATAGTGGATTCATGTGAAGATTGTTATAATATTTTTAATGTTCTGTAACAGTTTAGGTTAATTAGATGTTAAAAATGATGGCACAATTTTGACTAACGTTGAATGGCTATATTTACTCATTTTATCTGCAACAGAGGTATCAGTAATAAATAGGGATGCACCGAAATGAAAATTCTTGGCCGAAGCCGAAACCGAACAAAATTAAACACTGGGCCGAAGGCCGAATACCGAACACGCTTTTTCGAGTTTTTTTCCCCATGTATTTTGCCAATTTTTTTTTCACCATTGCATAAATTAAAAAGCCAAAATGTGCTTTTTACTGTTTTGTCTTGCTTTTCAAAGAAAAAAATAGATTACAAAACAACAATTTAAAAATGTTATAATAAATGTATTAAAACAGCTGTTGTAATGATTATTATCATTATTATTGTCTTACTTTTTATTTTATTTTACAGAACAACAAATTACAATACTAACATTTATGAATGTTGATAAGAGTTCTTGCTTTTTCTCAACTTTTATTTTGGCGGAAACGCGCAGGAAGACCTCAATGCTTATTTTTGTTGACAACAGATTTATAAATGAGTCTCATTACGAATACGTTGTACGTATCGCATTGTCACATGCCTTGTAAAAATTCATAAAAATGTGACTGAGCAACTGACGACTGTATCAGTGCAGATTTTCCTCGTGCTTTGGACTTTCAACCCTGGTTAACAAGCAGATCTGCTGCGAGTTCGTGCAGCGCTATCAGAATACATGCAATGCGCGCGTGTATTAGAAAACATAACGTTCTGCAGTTTATTTACTAATTGTTTAAGGTCATTTCGCAATTTCAATCATCGTACAGTAACCAGCAACAATCACCCCTTCCTCTTCTCATTGAAGACATGCGATGCAGTCCTAAACAGTCTCTCGCTGTCGGTG